TAATTAATTTTCTGAGAGGTATGTGAAAGTACCAGTTTCTTTTTTTCTTTTTTCTTTGTTATTTTTAGATACACATGACAGTAGAGTGTATTTTGATATTTTGTACACACTTGGAATATAACTTCTGATTCTTGTAATTGTACATGATGTGGAGTTACACTGGTTGTATATTCATATATGAACATAGGAAAGTAATGTCTGATTCATTCTATTTCTTTCCTCTTCCTATCCCCCCCTTCCTTCTTCATTTCCCTTTGTCTAAACCAATGAACTTCTCTACTTCCCTTTGGGCCCCCTTATTGTGTGTTAGCATTTGCATATCAGAGAGAACATTTGACCTTTGGTTTTTTGGGATTGGTTTATTTCACTTAGCATGATAGTCTCCAGTTCCATCCATTTACTGGCAAATGCCATAATTTCATTCTTCTTTATGGTTGAGTAATATCCCATTGTGTGTATATATTACATTTGGTTCATTCCTTCATCTGTTGAAAGGCACCTAGGTTGACTCTAGAGCTCAGTTATTGTGAATTGAGCTACTATAAACATTGATGTGGTTGTGTCAAAAAATACCAGTTTTTGTCAAAAAAAAACTATACTTTTTAAAGACTTTAAACTCTGCAGAAAGGACTGTCAAATAAAAGGCTTTATTTTTTCAGTTTAGAAGAGAGGATCCTGATAATGCCATAGGTTTCCGTAGTGTTATCAGATTTCTTCTGATTTTAGGCATTCTTAGGATTTTTCTTAGGATTTTTCTTCACAATAACCCTATAAATAGGTGGAGAAGATAGTTATCTGCATTTCTCAGAAGATGAAACCATGGCCAAGAATGGGACTAAAAGATGTCCTGAAGTCACAGAGCTGATTGGTGTGAGCCCACAGCTCACTGGACTCTCATCTACAAGAAAGACCTTCAGAAGTGTGGGGAATTAGCTCCTCATCCCCCAGGCCTGGTTCTTCACTACATATCTACACCTACTCCACGCATGTGGGCATCATGAGAGTCTTTCCTGCAAGATCTGGCCTACTTATATAATTGGTCCCACTGACTTTATCACAGGAGTAGAAATATCTCCAGAGAAGGGTCTGAGGTATTCCCAGAGGAGAGGGGAGAACTCAAGACCAGTGGGGTTCTTGATATATGTGATGAAAAGAATTTCAGCACTTGTCAGTCAAACATAGAGGTTTATTTAGGAAGTAAACACACATTCAAGGGAGAATTCAGGCAGTCTTAAGAGTGAAAAGCCTCTCCTTGGGTTGGGGATCTAGTATTTATAGGGAGTCTGAAATTAGGAGCAAGACTAGAGGTAGAACCAGGGTAGACCCAGACAATTGCACACCAATTTCCCCTGCACTCTCATGTTTCCCTTATTTAACAAGGGCATGGGCCAAGGAAGGGCATGTCACTCAGGATTTCTGTGTCTCAGTGGTTCATGGCAATTTCCTTTGAGATTCAGTACAACTTTCTTTCCTATATTCCTAGATTTGACCATGGTCAGGCCACTTGTCTAGTACTTTGTAGCTCATGTTTACTATACTTTCCTCTAGTCTTGAATGTGTTAATCAGCTTTCTATCATGGTAATGAAATGCCTGAGTTAATTTATGAAAAGAAAATTGTGATTTCTGGCTTACACTTCTGGAGGTTCCAGTCCCTGAATGAGTGGTCCTATTTCTTTGAGCTTCTGATGAGGCAGTACAGCATGCTGTGAGTGCATGGTGGAACAAAACTGCTAACTTTGTTAGCCATGGAACTGAAGAGAAAGAACACAAAGAGACCAGGGTCCCATGATCTCTTTCAAGGGCACATTTCCCATGACCTAAAGATCTTCCCCTGGGCCCCACCTCTTAAAGGTTCCACCACCTCCCACTAGTGCCACCCTGTGGAGCAAGCTTTTAGCTTTTGAAGAACACCCACTCAAAGGTACTGGACTTTCCTAGCTAGATATCAGAGACTCAGGTATTACCTGGCAAACCTGCATCTTGCACTTTACTTTCAAAAACTGCTAGCAATTCTGCCTGCAGGCTCAAAAGCTCCAGAGCATTATCTGCATATTTCTGGAATCCCAAATATGTATCTTACCTAACAAAATATTTTCACAGAAGAAGCAAAGTGAGTTTCTCCAAAATTAGAAATATAAATGCTATAGCTCTGATGCACAGGATCTGCATACCTGCAAAACGGAAATGCTTGCCGAGAATGATGACCTCTATAGCCATATTGGGAGAAATCAATGCCTAGAATTCATTAGAACTTGCATCATTCTCTCAGAAAAAAGGAGAGCTATTCAAACCAACTCTCCATAGCCTCAAGGTCATTTCCAATTTAGGATTACTCAGCAAGTTCCCTAAGCAGTCCCAGTGCAAGCATTGGCCATTAGGCTTGGATATTGCTCTTGTTCTTGAAAGACCAATGAAAGGGCCCCTGCAAGAATGCAGTATCTTCTGTTTGGAGATCAACATTTTACTTTTGCAGGGTTTGGGCCCTCTAGGAACACCTGATTTGGCAGAGGCACACTTTAAGCTACCTCTTTTTTAAAAAAAAAAAATATTTTTTAGTTGTCAATAGACCTTCATTTATTTATATGCGGTGCTGAGGATCGAACCCAGTGCCTCACACATGCTAGGCAAGGACTCTATCACTGAATCACAACCCCAGCCCATATCTCTTGACCAGACATAAGAAACACTCCAAAAGTGTGAAGATAGGACAAACAATCCCCATGATCTACCTTGCTATGCAAACTTTTTTTTTATTATTTTTTTTTAGTATTTATTTTTTTAGTTTTCAGCAGACACAACATCTTTGTTTGTATGTGGTGCTGAGGATCGAACCCAGGCCACACGCATGCCAGGCGAGCACGCTACCGCTTGAGCCACATCCCCAGCCCGCAAACTTCTTTTTGACAGATAAGATGTCCTCACTTCTTCCGACAGCCCAGATCTTCAACATTAGAAATTAGATCATGGAGTTGACAAAGTACTCCTGGTAATACATCACCCATTTTTCTACTCTGGCTATCCCAGTGATAAAGCCCAGGCAAGAAAGAGAAGATTATGTGATTTCTTCTGCCGTGCTTTTACTCTGCTATGATCCCAAATGGCTGTCACTTTGAAACAAATTCTGGTTAGCTCTTGGGCTGGGGATCCAGTATTTACAGAGACTCAAACACAGGAGCCCACATGTGCAAGTCCTGAAGCTACTTCTGTCCCAGAACAACCACTCTGGGAGTACTGGCCATCAGGGCTGCCTACCTTTAAAGCATGGAAGCAACATGTGGAGTGGAAGGCTTCTAGGTGGATGCAGCCTGACTGCTGTCACTTATTGCTACTGGGGTAAAACCAGAATAGTAGTGATAGCCATTATTTATTGAGCATTTGCCTTGTGTAAGCTTTGTGCTATGCTAATATTTCATATATTTGAACTCATTTAGTCATGAGAGCTTTCTGAAGTGGGCTCTGCTTTCATCCCCAAATATACTCAGGATAAGTAGCATGCTCATATCACCTAACAGCTTGTTAGGCGACAAAGCCTGAATCAAATCTAGTATAGCTGGCAGCAGGGTCTAAGATCTCAGCTACAGTGAGAGAAACTCTCAGCTTCTCTCTGAACTCAGAGACCAGTTGGTAACCCGTCTTTCAACAGACTTGACTTCCACACATCTGCTTAATTCTCAGCTTAACTACTGAGCTAGTGTGCTGACAAACAAGCCAGAATTCTAGAGGACTTGGAAATCATAGTCCCAACATACCTACCGCTAAAGAACACTATAAACAGGAGCAATCTAACAAAGAGCTGTCCACACATGGCCCCCAAGGATGTGGAATGCAGAGGCATTGACAGAATGACCTGATGGGCCTTCCAGATAGGGGAGTCCCAACTACAAAGCCTCTGATATACCCTGATACTGCTGGTGAACCAGGGTGGCCCTTGAAGTTCTAAAAAGGGTCTCCAAAGCCTCCTTGAAACACTTTTCTGGTCATTTCAAGCCCAATAGCATTCAACTTACCAGCTCTTAAGCCACTCATCCGCACAATAAACAAATCTAGCCTGACCAGTGGTTAATACCTCACTGTAATCCCCAAATGCTATGCAACACCACTGTCACAGGATATGCCATAGACTTTTCCCGCTGTCATGACCAGTCACTTTGGTCATAGTGGATTCCAACATTGAATTGGAACATTTTTTGACCCCTTTATCAGCTTACTGGCACCATGTTAATATAAATCCCAAAGAAAAACTGTTAACCAGAACATGTCACAGTTTTGGATTGGATTGTCCAGCTTTTCTTTCATTTATTTCAGGGTCAGTAACCAGTAAGAATGCAGCACCTGGGTCTCAAGAGAAGACCAGCTGCTTGGCCAGCACTGTCAGCTCACCTACTCTGAATCTGTGCCCACATATGATCCTTAAGAACAGGAACTGGGGAGACTTTCCTTTTAATGAAATATGAATATAGAGGCAGTTTTTAAAAGAGAACTAAATAGTGAGGCACTCGGGTTCCCACCATATCTGCACCAGCAACACAGAAATTCCCATTACAGATAACATTGTACTAATATTATTTTATAATGCTACTGATTTTTTAAATTTATAGAAAACTTGCAATACACTCAAGTTTGCCTTTTTGTTTTGTTGGCTTATTTTTCTATAGATATGCATTTCTAATTGTGTAAGGCAAATTAGTGGGAAATAAGACTTATAGAAATGTGTATTAAGAAATGTTTACTTAGGGAAATAGTTCTCAGGACATGTATAGATAATACATTATATCTGCTTAAAGAAATAAGCAATCTGGTAAATTCTATACAGAAAATACATTACTCTCAGCCCCTATTTAGAAAGATTCTTCCTCTGATTTGAAG